CAGTCGGGGGGAAAGGGGCACTTCAGCTGAGGGCACGCCAGGAGGGCCTCACCTCCAGAACCAGCCCCCAGGAGAGACCGGAAGCTGGCTGTGACGCAAAAGCCAAAAATGTTCCTGTCACCTCACACAGCACTCTTACTTCATGCTCTCAAATCCTCTTGCATGGGGGCAAGGGGAATTCAGGAGAAGCAAGTGTGAAATGTGAATGGTGCCCCTGGAGACGTGCAGCATAGAGGCCAGGAATTCAGAGATGGGGCAACTCAGGGTACATCCCAGCCTTGTTCCTCCCAAATGCCACTAATCCCAGGAGAGCCCCCTGGACAGCCTACATTTGTAGGTTCCCCCCCAACAATCTATGGCTGCGAAATACAACGTTCATCAAAGGAATCACTGCAATCAAATCTCTAAGTGTTTGCTGAGGACGTACCATGAACCTTAACTTACTATCCCAGGTACTACCGGGTATGAAAGTGACTTAGGACATCTGTTCCTCATGAGCTTATATTTCAGACTATATATATATACATACACATAGAATATATATATACACACACATAGGAGATTACATATATATAAATAGGTTACATGTTATAGATCTAAAAAATATATATAACAGAAAATTATATATAGGAGAAATATGTATTATATAAGACAGATTATATATAAATTTTATATAGTCTGTATAACAGGACTATATGTATATTCTATACATAATAAAGATTATGCATATTGTTTATTTGAGAGAGAGAGAGAGGGCATACACAAGCGGTAGGGGGGGAGGGATAGAGGGAGAGGAAGAAGCAGGCTCCCTGCTCAGCAGGGATCCCAACACGGGGCTCAATCCCAGAACCCCGGGATCATGACCTGAGCCGAAGGCAGACACTTAATGAACTGAGCCACCCAGGTGCCCCAAAATTATGCATATTGTAAATAGATTTTACATATTACATATATAAGATTGTGTGTGTGTGTGTATCTTTGTAAATTAAACTCATACCACAAGACACCCATAGTTAAGTGTCTGAGAAAGAGAGTGAGAAAAACACCCTGCTCCCCTCGATTGGCACCAACCAGATCTCTGGAGAAGCACAGTTTCAGGATCCTTGCTCTATCTATCAAAGTTCATCAATTTTGGGCACCTGGGTGGCTCAGTCAGTTAAGCGTCTGCCTTCGGCTCAGGTCATGATCCCAGGGTCCCTGGATCGAAGCCCACGTCGGGCTCCCTGCTTAGTGGGGAATCTGCTTCTCCCTCCGACCCTCCCCTCTCTCATGCTTTCTCTCTTTCTCTCAAATAAATAAAATCTTTTTTAAAAAAAGTTCATCAATTTTTTTCAAATATTTAACATAACAAACATAAAATGCTTAGGAATCAAAGACATAATTTATTCAGTTAAGAAAATGCTATGGTATCGTTGAAGGCTATATAATCACATGAGAGTAAGTGGTTACAAAGTTTTTCCTTCTCATTGGCTTCAATAAGATCAGAATTACAATCTTATTTTTTAAGTATACCCATATACCTCAATAAAGATGTTTTTTAAAAAGCATATCCATCTTTGAGCAAATCCCAATATCAAACTGCAGACTTACAGAAGATTATAAATTAGTACCCAGTTTACAACAAGATCTCTAAACAGAGACATATTTCCTACGTCATTTAAAGCAAGATTCTAATTGGCAGCAACCCCGTGAGTGAGCTCAGAAGCAGGTCCTCCCCCAGTGAGCTCCATGATGACAGGAGCCTCATGACACACCCTGAGTCACAGGCTCCCAGCCGTGCTGAGCCCAGACTCCTGCCCCACAGAAGCTGTGGGACAGTAACCGTTGCTGTAAGCCTCCAAGTGACGGGGTAATTTATTACAGGACAACACATAACTAATATAGTTACCCTTCTAAAAATTATGCTAACAATGATGGACAGAGTGCTTATCCTTATTTTAGTTTCTAAATTTCCATTTTAGACAAATATTTTTTCTTATACAGAACTGATTTTTTGTTGTACGGATGTCGTAAAATACTGAATTGAATTTAATAGAATTTGATGCAAATTTTAAAAACAAGAAGAAGAAAGAAGAGATCAGGACACAAAGAGAGACGCCAGGGCTGGGCCTGTATGGCAGGATGACCATGTAAAGAGGCAGCAAGAAGGTGACTGTGCAGGCCAAAGAGTGGCCTCAGATGAAACCAAACCTTCCAGCACCTTGATCTTGAACTTCCAGCCTCCAGAACGGAGAGAAAATAATTTTATGTTGTTAAAGCCAACAACAACAACAATAATATAGGATTCTATTAGAGGGCACATTCTAAGACACAAGATGAGACAAGATCATTGAAAACACATCTGATAAGCTACCAAGGCAGAAGCAACTTGTTCTGGCAACAAGGCAAAGATGCCCACAGCTGATACTGCTCAGAGACAAACTGCCAAAGGAGGCCCAGCAGCACCAGGGTCGGACCTCCTAAAGACGGCCACCAAGGTAGGTTCCCAGGCCCACACGACTGCTCCCAATTCAGAGGAGGAAGCAGAATGGAGGTCACAGGAGTTGGGGTCTGCCATCCACTCCTGGAGCCGGTACCCTCATGACAGAGACGAGCATGCTGATGTCCTGTCCTGAGGCAGGGCTCTGGCCATGCAGACGGAGAGAGGCCGGTGGCATTTCTCCCCTTTCTAAGGGGGGTCAGGATACTGTTTGGTGCAGGAGCGCCATGGCGGTCAGCCCAACACACTGCCTCGCCCCATGCCCCCCGCCACACCTGGACGGACTCTGTCTGTTTCCCAGTTTTGCCTTTTACCTCTAGCATCCCTTTCTAAATCTGTAGTTTCTCAAAAAGCTTCCTTACTCTCAAAGAATGCAAAACCTCCCCACTTCTCAGGATCCCTCCCTTCATCTCAACCAAGATCACCCGCCGAGAGAGACAGCACTGAAAACTAGAACAAACAGCAGAATACAAACAAGGTAATTCTACCCGATGGCCCCAAGTAACTGAGAGACACGGAGGTCTGGAAGCGAGAGAAGGTAGAGAGGATATGAGCTCAGTACATAAGGAGAAATACCACTGGAAGTGTAACGGCTCACCCTGTTACATGCCGTCTCACAATTCATAAAGCCCTTCAGATATCTTACCTCCAACATCCTCCAACAATCCTTTATCTGTGGTCCCACAACTACGAAGTAGTGGAGCTGGGATGCCTTTGGTCTGAAAAAATTGAGCATTAGCACTTCTCAAAAACCTCTAATTTCTACCAGAATGTCTGTATAATCCATCTCTTCCCATTACATGAATGGCAGTAAAAAAAACCCTGGTATCTTTCATCACATTTAGGAAATTACATAACAACGAAACAATTATAATTAACGCAAGGTCAACTCCAACCTCCGACTGCAGCTACTGTAAACACACCACCCCACCTATCCAGGAGATCGATAAGCAACCCATACATTCCAATATTCCAGAGCCCTCTCCAACAGGAAGTCACAAGGTAGCCTCCACCCCTCTGCCTCGATTTTAAGTCCATTTCCTCCAGACCTCTGCCCTATAGACCATATAACTATCCACTATTCATAACACCCTCACTTACTCCTTTTAAAAAGTCTAAGTTTAGTTTTTTAATCTTAATCATAAACACAGTGTGTTTCACACTAGCTTCTTAAACCAGCACTGTCGTAACTCAACATCTTCAACACTTTGAACACACAGGAAAAAGCAAAGGAAAAAAGGCAGTCAGTTTTCACTCAGCATTTCCTCTGCATTTTGCATCCCATCTGCAGCTGGCCACAAGGGAAGACTGGTTAAGGGAAAGTGGAAATATGGCATTCTCTCTTTATGACATCTCCTCGAAGGCAGGAGGCATCAAGAACAAAGCGTTAGTCTCTTTAACCCCACACTTCCCATCTCAGAGAAAAGAGAGGGAGGGCAGGGCAGGTGAAACCCAGTCCACACAAAACCAGCTAGCAGATGGTGGGTCAGAGAGCACCAGGGAGCTGGAATGCTTCTCACAACAAGTGGGTAATCTGAAGGATGACGAGGGCAGGAAGGCCTAATCAAGCCTGGAGCACTTAGAGACTTTCCTTAAATTTACTACAATCCTTATTACTCAGTTATGCTCACTTTGGGAAAATTCACCAAGATCCCAGCATGATTTGTCCTCTTTATATTCAGTAAAAAGATTTTTTTTTTTTAATACTCCTTACTTATTACCAAATCTCAAAAGGAGAAAAATCTCCAAATCAAGCTCTACTTTCTCCTATGACAGAAGAAAAAGATCGCCTCTCTACTTCTCAACAGTGAAAAATGGAGAAACAAAGAATTCCTTATGGTTGGCTAGATAGTACAAAAACAGGATAGAGAACAAAGATCCAGCCAACCATAGCTCCGGATAAAGATGCAGAACAGCACTGGGGACAGAAAACAGGAGGGACTTGGAAACAAACCCTGAAGAACACAGAGGAAAACTATTCAGGCTGACCTACAACATCAGGGGAAAAGAGCATATGGAGTTGTCGATAAAAGGAGTAAGCTGTGATTTTTTTTTTTTTTTCAGGACATTAAAGACAGATTTTAATTTTAGAGTCTTAATCACGTGAAAGATAACTGCACAGCTATCAGACTAAGGGGGAAAAAATGGTCAAGTTTACTTAAGACCTAACATACGCCAGGTGCGGTGCCGAGTCTTCCCAGCATTTCAAACTCACGACTAAATTTAAGGCGGAGATTTCATTGTCCTCATTTTACAGATGAGAAAGCTGAGGTTCAGAACACTTACGAAAACAATTCAGAAAAACTCTGAAGTAACAATTAGGTGAAAAGGAAGAGAGAGAGTTGCAGAGAAGGAAGAAGGCAAGTCTCTCAGAATGAAGCCCCGAACCTAACAACTAATAATTTTAGATTTCTGAACTCTTAAGAATTTTAGAGCTAACAGGGACCTTGAGAATCAACTCACTTACCATGGAAAGAAGAAGAAAAAGGAGTAAATAACATTTCAACACATTTCCCCCCACCTCTCTTTTTCATTCAACAGCTGTCAACAAATGTTTGCTGAGTGTCTACTATGTGTTAGGACATCTTTAAAATTCTAATCAATCATCTCCTTTAACTTTCCACCTAAAAGACCTAAATAATGTACACGGGTACACAGTTATTCTTTCTTTCTTCAATCTGCCCAGAGAGATGTACCAAAAAGTGCATCAACTATTGTTAATGAAGCATCGAATATAAGCTCCAAGTCCTAGGAAAAGTAAAAATTCTACAGAAATTTTCATACTGGAGCACCTGGCTGGCTCAGTTGGAAGAGCATGCAACTCTTGATCTCAGGGTCAGGAGTTTCAGCCCCACGTTGGGTGTAGAGATTGCTTAAATAAATAAAACTTAAAAAAAAAAAGAAAGAAAGAAAGAAACTTTCGGGGCACCTGGGTGGCTTGGTCAGTTGAATGACCGACTCTTGGTTTCGGCTCAGGTAATGATCTCAGGGTCATGAAATTGAGCCCTACATCGGGCTCCAGGCTCAGCAAGGAGTCTGCTTGAGATTCGCTCTCTCCCTCTGCCCCTCCCACCGCTCACACACTCACTCTCTGAATAATAAAATCTTAAAAATAAAAAAAAAATTAGAGAAAAAGAAATTTTCATACTAAAAAAAAAAAATCCTGGTACCATCATAGCCTTCCAAGAGTCTTTTACTTCAGTCAAACAAGGACTATGTGTATGACCCTGTCCCAGAATTAATCACAGTCCACTGATGGTCATTTGTATTAACAAGATTCATAATGTTTTAACATACGATTCTGATGAGAACAAGAACTTCCTGGCTTTTCCAGAGGACTCCTTGGGGACTAAATCAGGTTTAATTTTCTTAATTATGGAAAAAAGGAACTAAATTCAATTCCAAATTGCTTAGACTTTACAGTTCCAGGGAGGATGATCATCTCTCTTCCTCTCTCTCTCTCACACACACACACACACGAATAACATGGTTTTTGCAAAACTCCAAAATTATTCTGAGTCTCCTGATTTAAACACAGGAAAATAGATTTAATGCCCCAAAATAAAAAGTTAGCAAAATTAAATTTACCACTTCCACATCCATTCAGCAAATGAAAAATTATCACCATCATTAAACAAAATAATCAGCTCATTTCCACCAAACCATATCTCTACTACCTTTTTCTCTTCAGTTGTGAAAGCTTCTTTGACTCTGACAGTTTCACTGAAAGTACAAATTTTATATTTCCCTAAATTTACTTAAGGTAGGGATACCTGGCTGGCTCAGTCAGTAGAGCATCTGACTCTTGATCTCAGGGTCATTGAGTTTGAGCCCCATGTCAGGTGTAGAGATTACTTTTGAAAATAAAAGACGGGGTGCCTGGGTGACTCAGTGGGTTAAGCATCTGACTCTTGATTTTGGCTCAGATCACGATCCCAGGGTCATGGCACTCCCTGCTCAGTGTGGAGTCTGCTTGAGATTCTCTCCTTCTCCTTCTGCCCTTCTCCCTGCTTGTACACTCTCTCACTCTCTCTCTAAAAATAAATTTTAAAATAAATAAAACAAAACTTTTTAAAAGTTTATTTAAGGTGGACTTTCATTTTTGTTATTTTCAGTAGGGATCCTCTAAACATTAAAAATATTTATAATTAGCTAATGAAAATGTTTTTAAACTTTATTCTTAAAATCTTCATAATAAAGAGCATCTACAAAAACATTTACAACTAACATTACACTTACTGGTGAAGACTGAAACATTTCTACCTAAGACCAGGAACAAGCTGGGGCGCCTGGGTGGCTCAGTCGTTGGGCGTCTGCCTTCCGCTCAGGTCATGATCTCAGGGTCCTGGGATCGAGCCCCGCATCGGGCTCTCTGCTCAGCAGTTGTGTTCCCTCTCTAGCTGTCTCTCTCTGTGTCAAATAGATAAATAAAATCTTTAAAAAAAAAAAAAAAGACCAGGAGCAAGCCAACATTGTCTTGGAGGTACCAGCCAATGTGATAAGGCAGTAAAAATTGGTTAGATAACCCAGCCAGGATTCAAACGTGGGGCTCACAGACTGTCATATGCTCTGAGGCAGAAGCTCCATGAAGAAGCAGCTGTAAAAAGGCTTCTTTCAATTTTTTTTTTTTATTCACTCAGTTGCAGGAATATAGCAAACATCCAAATGAAGATAAATGAAGATATCCAAATGGAAGCTAACAACACTGGACCCACAAGAGAGGTCCCAACTAGAAGTGTATTAACGGGGCAGAAAGGGAGATGTATAAATGGTAGCTGAAAGCAGGGGCAAAAATATGATTATCCTAAAAGGACAAAGAGGACCAGGGATGGTCTGCTAAGGGGAACATCATCTTGTGACAGTGGGAAGGAGATGGAGACTCCAAAGGGCAACAGGAAAGGAATGACAATGAAGGAGGAAAGCCACGAGAAAGGGGCTAGGCCAGAGCTGATGGCAGCAGATGCTTCAAGGACGAGAAAAGAGACAAGAGTGTTCAAGGAAACAGAGCTGCTCTAAAAAAGATGTACATGAAGGACGCCTGGGTGGCTCAGTCGTTAAGCGTCTGCCTTCGGCTCAGGTCGTGATCCCAGGGTCCTGGGATCGAGCCCCACATCGGGCTCCCTGCTCCACGGGAAGCCTGCTTCTCCCTCTCCCTCTGCCCCTGCTTGTGTTCCCTCTCTTGCTGTGTCTCTATCAAATAAATGGATAAAATCTTTAAAAAAAAAAAAAAGATCAGAATAAATATTAAAAAAAAAAAGATGTACATGAGAACAATCTCTTGGGCAAAATTTCTTTTTCTGAGTATAACTCATACCTGGCATAGTTCTTTTTTAAAGAAGCTAAGTCTTTCTATTCTTAAACGTCTTTGTTATCTTTAAACCTGAACACTTGCTTTGTTTCTACTCTGGATTTCAGAACCAAAGAGCTATAACAATTACAAGATGAGGGAATATTATAACATAGATATTTTTAAGCCACTCATATTATAGACTACAGATAAAATATAGCCTTATACTTTTGAGCAACATTATTTTTTTCATTGATGCCCTGGAAGGGAAGCCAGCTGCCCTCCAGGAATTAAGAGTATAAAACTTAGGGGCACCCAGGTGGCTCAGTTGGTTAAGCATCTGACTCTTCATCTCTGCTCGGGTCTCGATCTTAGGGTCATGAATTCAAGCCCCATGTTGGGCTCCATGCTGGGTGTAGAGCCTACTAAATTAAAAAAAAAAAAAAAAAAAAGGATAAAACTTAACCATGGCTCCTGGTAACAACACAAAACTGGTCTCTCTGGGCTGCCTTCCAACAGGGCTTAGGCAGGGCTGCAGAGGTCCTGAGGCCATCACTGTGACAATGAATAGACATGTACGCAAAATGGGACCCAGCTGTATTACCCTGTTCCCAATAACTAGGAAGGGAACCATAAGACCTGGGAACAAGGAAAATCAAAACCGACTTGACCAGATGTGTTTAATGTACAAGATAGCAGTCACACATGCAAGGCACCGTCATGGCCAATACAGAGAGGAAATGCAAATGAGCTATGGTCCTGGAATCTCAAACTACAATAACATAACACATAGTTATTTTCTGTGTAAAGACAGAAAATATTAGACCAAAATTATTTTAGTCTATATTCAACACAAATATTTAAAAAAAAAAAAGTCTCCTGGTTCACTGCTCCTTCCCATTCGACAGACAGCTGCATCTTCTGGTACAGTGCCAACCACATCCCCAAGACGTGATGGTGAAGGTTGGAATAAATGGATTCAACTGTTATCGGGCTGCTTTTAACTCTGGCAAAGTGGATATTATTGCCATCAATGACCCCTTCGTTGACCTGAATTTACATAGTCTACATGTTCCAGTATGATTCCACCCACAGCAAATTCAACAGCACAGTCAAGGCTGAGAACAGGAAACTTGTCATCAACGGAAAGCCCATGTCTCCATCTTCCAGTAGTGAGATCCTGCCAACTTCAAATGGGGTGACGCTGGTGCTATGTTGTGGAGTCCACTGAGGGCTTCACCACCAAGGAGAAGGCTGGGGCTCACTTAAGGGTGAGGCCAAGAGGGTCATCATCTCTGCCCCCTCTGCTAATGCCCCACGTTTATGATGGGCGTGAACCATGAGAAGTATGACAACTCCCTCAAGATTGTCAGCAAGAGCTCCTGCTTGGCCCCTCTGGCTACGGTCATGTCTGACAACTTTGGCATTGTGGAGGACTCATGACCACAGTCTATGCCACACTGCCACCCAGAAGACTGTGGATGGCCCCTCTGGGAAGCTGTGGTGTGATGGCTGACGGGATGTCTAGAACATCATCCTTGCTTCTCCTGGCACCACCAAGGGTGTAGACAAGGTCATCCCTAAGCTGAACAGGAAGCTAATTGGCATGCCTTCAGTGTCCTCACCCCCAACACGTCAGTCACAGATCTGACCCGCCCCTGGGAAAAAGCTGCCAAATAGGATGACATCAAGAAAGTGGTGAAGCAGGCACTGGAGGGCCCCTTTAAGGGCATCCTGGGCTACACTGGGGAACAGGTTGTCTCCTGTGACTTTAACAGTGACACCCACTCTTCCACCTCTGATGCTGGGGCTGGCATTGCCCTCAATGACCACTTTGTCAAGCTCATTTTCTGGTACGACAATGAACTTGGCTACAGCAACCGGGTGGTGGACCTTATGGTCCATGTGGCCTCCAAGGAGTAAAATGCCTCTGGCACCAGCCCCAGTGAGGGCAAGAGGAAGAGAGAGGCCCTCAGCTGCTGGGGAGTCCTTGCCCCAACTCATCCCCCAACACACTGAGAATCTCCTGACCTCCACACAGGTTCCATCCCAGACCCCTGAATGAGGGGAGAGGCTTGGGGAGCCCTACCTTGTCATGTACTATCAATAAAGTATACTGGGGGCGCCTGGGTGGCTCAGTTGGTTAAGCGACTGCCTTCGGCTCAGGTCATGATCCTGGAGTCCCGGGATCGAGTCCCGCATCGGGCTCCCTGCTCAGCGGGGAGTCTGCCTCTCCCTCTGACCCTCTCTCCCC